TCACCAAGGATACTCAGGCCAACTTAAACAATTTCATCTACATCACCTATCAAGACTTTCCACCGTATTTACCCCAAAATCATTTCATGAAAACCCATTTCCCAACATTCTTTTCTCAATGCAAATTTCCAAAGCTTAACATAGTCCAATGAATTGAAATGCCAATGTATGCTTAATAATACAATGCAACATTACTTCCATATTCAATTGTTCCACATAATATACCATTGTGATCAAAATTCCCAATCCTCTTTTCAACACAATCCCACAAGATGAATATATATATATATATATACTTTTATATCCAATTCATTCAAGAAAATAACGTAATTCCCACATTTCGAGCAATCTCAACAATTTAGTCAATTAAAGACTAAATCAATATTTTGACAAAAATTTCCAAAATAAACAACATTTCTCATTTTTTTCACAAAATTCGTCATTTATGTATAAATAAACAATTTTCAAAACATTCATTTATTTTGGTACACAAAATAAATATGATAACATCTTCTAAGGATTTTCAACATCTTTCAAGGAAAAGACCAAATTTCTAGGTTTTCTCATCAAAACCATTCATCTCCAAGATATTTAAAAGAATCTCTCCAAAATCATATTTCTTCAATCAATATGGTTCAAAACCTTCAATTTCTATTTTAAAAGGAAAAGAAATTAAACCCTCATTCAAAATCACTCATCTTCTTGAAATCAACAATCAATTTCTCAAAACTAATAAAAGGATGATTTCGAAAATCATCTAGATCTTGCAAAAACATATATATAACTTTAAGAAAATCGCTACCTCAAGTTTTGAAGAAGAAATGAGATGAAACCCCCAAAATCAACGGTGTCGAAACTCGATCTTCACCGTACACAACGAAGCCCTCAAGATGATAACTAACTTTGGTGAAGAACTTAGGTCTAAATCCCAATGGATTTGGAGAAATCAAAGAGAGAAGATGACTTCTAGAGAGAGAAACTCCCGATTTGAAATTCTGGAGAGTTTTAGAGAGAGAGAGAGAGAGGACTGAAAAAGTGATATGAAATATCAAATTCACGAGCTGATATAACATGGTCCGCTCGAGCGTCAAATACACTAACCCAGTACTTTTGCAGACAGGTCAAACTTCTAAAACCACACATTCTCCGCTCGAGCGCATAAACGGCCGCTTGAGTGGACAAGTAACTTCAAATACATTTTGAATTTTTGTTTTGGAAGTGCTGCCTCTCAACCCCGCCAGGACGCTGCCCTAGGACCCGCCAAGGGGCGTTGCCCCCTAGACCTCCGCGAGCTGACCGGACAACTCGACCCCCGATCGGCCCAGTCGAAGTGGCAAATCATGAAAGAAGGATCGAAATCGGGATCACTACATATGATCTATTTTTCCTTTCACTACTACACATCACAATCCAGGCAACCTCCATCATTACAAGCCATTACTCTATCGATTCATGCCCTTCTACTATGATATAGTTTTATTAGAGCCTTCTATCACCATCGTCTCAATGGTGGATAACACCACTATACTCAAACTCAATCAATCACCACTTCATTATACCAATTCTAAAATTGTTCAGCCCTCTCTATCTTCAACTAAACACCACATCATCTAGAGCTTGACGAAGTCCTTTTTGGTGCATAAGTAGAGGGACCTTCAATAGTTATTGGATTGAAGGTTGCCTGACATCAAATTAGAAGTGGTATTAGAAAGATAGAGATATATATATATTTTTTAAAAAATTGATGATGGATTATATACTTGCTTAACCTAAATTGATAGAAGGCAGAGGGTTGTCTCCAGTTAAGTTTCCCAACTGGAAGGTGTTGCTAGGCCTCCATGGGCCCACCACGAAACCCGCATCGAATTCGAACTATTCAATATGTAAAGTTCATCAAGCACTTTATCTCTGTAAAAAATCATATTAATCGAATATCGATAGACATTTAATCAGATCATATTTGTGTTAACAATTTATTTTAAAAATCACACTTACTATTGATACAAATGTAATTTGATCAAGTGACTATTGATATTCGATTAACGTAATTTTTTATAGAGATGAAGTACTCGATGAGTTCTACAGACTGAACGGTTGAGATTATCAATGCGGCCTCCGTAGTGGGCCCACGGAGGCCTAATAGCACTCTCTAGTTTGATTTGGACCTGAAAGAAGTCTTTTCCTTTATAGAAAGTGAGCCTTTTGTAAATGAAATGATTATTTGGTGCAATTGATAGATGCTATTAATATTTAAAAAAAAATATATATATATATTTTAAGAGTTTGTATCAAAGTATCTGTTTTAGCTTATGTTTATTACAAGACATAAATAAATTTAAAAGTATAATTATTTAAAAATTAGAAAAGTGATATTTTTTAAAATTAATTTAGGAAAATTACAAAAAATAAAAACAAAGTTTGACAATTGTAATAGAATATACCCTAAAATTTTAATGTTGTCAATTTAAACTATAATCTTTTGATTTATTTTCAATTTAAACTATTAGTCTATTTCCGTTAAGTAAAATTGATTAAAAAATGGTATTTTAGTTATTAAATTCAATGTAGATTTTTTGTTGAGTTTAATAACTAAAATATCATTTTCCCATCAATTTTATGTAATAGAAATAGACATATAGTTTAGATTGAAAATGTAAAGGGTGAAAAACTGACCCAAGAAAAGTATAGACCCAAATAGATTCGACCAATCCAAACGAATAAAACCCAAAACTAAGGGGACCGACTAACTTGATCGGGCATATCAAACGCAATCAGACTCAAATCAAATATAGATCCCTAACAAGAGGCCAATTGCCCGATTAAGAGAGATCTGATGGCTAACAACGATTGTAAGTTGGCTACTATCAAAGTGACCCCTAACAAAAGGATGACCGCCTGATCAAGAGAGATTCGACAGCCAACAACGATTGCAAGTTGGCCACTATCAATGTGATCCTTGACAAAAGGCTAATAGTTTGACCAAGAATGATCTAACAACCAACAACGATATATCAATTGATTATAAAATGGGAGGATAAGACACAAGAATTATTACACAAACACATTTACATAGGGCTGGGCTTCCCTATAGTTTGCGATCGGACTGGAGAGTACTGCTGGGCCAGTGGGGGCTTACCATGAGTCCCGTTTCAAAAATCCGAATCATCAATGTGTAGAACTCGTCGAGTACTATATGCTTGTAAAAAATCACATTGATTAGATATCGATAATTATCTCATCGGATCAGTTTTCTATCAACCGTTTATTTTTTTACTGTTTATTTTTTTTAATATAAAATTGATTTGATCACGTAACTATCGATATCCAATTAATGTGATTTTTTATTATCAAAACGGGACCCGTGGTGAGTTCCTACAAGCCCAATAGTACCCTTAAGTCCGATCACGGACTAGAGGGAAGCCAACCCATTTACATAATATCACTTTCTTTACATAGTTATGTCCAATCTAAATGTTGACTTGATCATCAAAGGGTCATCCCGACTTACTTAGGTCAGGGGTGATATCTGACCTTGGCTTCTCTTGTAGGTGTAGGATAAGGCGCATCGTATTGCTGATCCCCTATGGAGACAAATTCATCATCCATAGAAAATAAATCAAAAATTTAGGATTTAAATTAATAAAATTAAAAATTCAAGATTTATTTTTGTTAGAAGGGTTTGAGTTATTTATTTATTTATAATTTATATAGTTTTATTCTAATTATTTTATTCTAATTATCAAATTCACTTGATTTATAAAATTAGGCCTTCCACAAAATCCGTTTGTATAATTTTTTTTTTGAGTAATTACACCCCAATGAAATTTTGAAAAAGTAATTACGTATTTATTAAAAAATTTATAATTGTAATTATTAAATATTTACAAATTTTCTCACTTATTTACAATTATTTTTGGGCAAGTATACTGTTAATTCCTCTATTTTATGTCATTTGGTCTATGTAATTTTAATTTGATTAATTTTGATCACAAACTTTTGATTTTATCTCAAATTGGTCCAATTGTTAGTATTTTTTTTTTATTTCAAATGCACACATCAACTACACGTCATATTTTTAAGAATAAAATTGTAAATTTGGTCAATTTAGTGACTTAAATTCAACCAATTCAATAATATATATATATATATATATATATTTGTTAAAAAATTCTAACAATGTTATCAATTGGACTAAATTGAAGTAAAATATAAATGGGGGATTTACGTGTAAGTTTTAATAAGTGGACTTCCAATAAGTCCTATGATTATTAATGACATTTTTTATCAAACACTATTAAAAAATGGGACTTCCAATAAGTCCTATGATTATTAATGACATTTTTTATCAAACACTATTAAAAAATGTCACCAATTGTTAATTTTTAATGACAGTTTGAAAATTTTGTCACAAAGAATGTCACTAATTATAAGTTTTAGCGACAATTTAAAAAAATAGTCACAAAAAGGTCACTAATTTTTAACTTTCAGCGACAGTTTAAAAAATTCATTACAAAAAAATCACTAATTATAAATTTTAGTGACAATTTATAAAAAACATGACAAAAAAGTCACAATTATTAATTTTTAGCGACATATGCAAAAAGTAGTCACAAAAGATTTTTTTCGCGATAATTTTATCAATAGGACTTGATAATAATTAAATCAAACTATTAGGATCCAGTGATATTTTATCTAATATTAAAGATTAAAATTAAATCAATTAAAATATTAAAAATTAAAATGATTTAAGGAACAAATTGTATGGAGTATATGGGTAATCTGCCCATTATTTTTTTAAAATTCTACTTATTTTTATTTTTTTTTCCCCTTTTTTTTTTTTAATTTTACCACGGTTCAACCTTCAAAACCGAACCGGCTTAGAAGGATCGGCCGGTTTATGTACCCATATACGCGACAATTATTATTAGTCGTCCTCTTTGTCATCGTTGCTGAGTGAAGTGAGGGTTTCACCTTCTCCGGCGAATTTTTCCGGTTCCGGCAAATTTTTCCGGTTCCGGCAGCACCCCATGCCAGTTCCTCTCCCTTCTCCTCATATTCTCCTCCTCCATTTTTCACACAAAAAACAAGTTCAGGTAATGGGTCATCTTGTGGGATGAGATTGCCTCCAACATACCCATATTCTTCTCTAATCTTGAACTTTGAAGGTTAGTAATTGAGTTTAAAAAGTAGTCATGTGTTTCATATTTGATTGTTATTATTGAAAGTTTGAAACTTGTTATAGCAAATATAGGAGACAAATGAAATTCCTATTTATTTATGTTCTTGTTCATTATTTCTTTTTAATTTATATGATTTGAGGCTTCTGAGTGTTTGAGGATTCATACTTTGTCTTGTGTTTGAGTTTTGACTCTTAATGTTTTAAATTTAACTCTAATTGCTTTATGTTTGTGACTTGGGCTTGCGATTTATTTTATTATAACTTAGGATTTTGGATTTTACTTGTGCTCTTTTATTTAAAAGATATGTATTATGAATTGTTTGTAGGAGAATGCTTTCATTACCATGATTATAGTTCTAACTTCTAAATTCGATATTTGGTTAGATCGTGAGATGGCTTTTGCTTGTGAAAGTATTGTGCAATGATTTTAAGATAATGTCTACCGAGAACCACCATTGTCTATTTATGATTTTTATTTTTTTAATATTTTTTTTTTGGGTACAAAATAGAGAAAAATATTAGAAGAAATATTTAAGAAAATTTTTAGGTTTTTGGTTTTGTGTGTGTGTGTAAGTTTAATAGCTATATTTTCTATTTATTTATAATTTTAATGTATTTATGATGTAATTGTGATGGCACGGTTCGATTCTTGTTAACCCGGCAGTTGAATCAGGGACTTTTCTCTTTTCCGGTTTGCTTAATGGTTTGGGTTTCAAAATATTTTCTTCAAAGGTCCATGTGTTGCTCTTTTGCTTTTACTTTAGTGTAATTTTCCCATTTTTGTTGGTTACGGGTGATTTAAACCGAGTGAGTTATCACTTGAACAGATATGGGTGATGGAGGATGTGGGTAGAAAACCACTTAGGTGATTGAGAGGGTAATTTATATGAATATTAGGCCGAGCTGGACAATGGGCCGTTATGGGCCACAGTATGAAGGGCTGAGTAGAAAGGCTTCAAATCCAGTTCGGTCCTAGCAGGACTTAAAGTTAAGACCGGTCCCAGAAGTGCATTGTTATCTCGGCCCGGGAGAGCGCGGTAGTTCGGTCGCTGGGTCACCACCCTCAGATTAGTCCGGTTGCAGCATATTACGGTTAGCCTGGTCGTGTCTTCTAAACCGAAGTATGATAAGCCTTCTTCAAGATACTTCTGTGTTAGTTCGGTTCGACACTTCTATGGATAGTTCGGTCTGGGCATGCGAAGCCGAGGTAGAAGCAAGGAAAAGAAAAGCCGGACTGAAAGTTGGATTTGTCATACCTGCATATCTAGTAAGGCAATGGTATTTCGGTCCCATAGAAGTCTGACTATGGTAAAACCATCTCACTTGGTTTAAGCAGTAAGGAGGTTGTTGAAGGATGAGCATTATCTTTCAGGAGTATGAATCCTAGGAGGACTCTACATGGAGGAGTAGAAGTTCTATTAGGACTATGCCACACGGAACCTATAAAAGCTCACAAATATCATCTATGGAGAGGTAACACACAACTTTGATACACAGAGCTTTTTGTCTTTGTCTATTTTTGCTGACTTAGGCATCGGAAAGGTATCCGGCATACACCCGCCGGCTAGCTTACGTTTGTGTTTTCAGGGCGTAAAAGCGACGACGTTTCGAGGAGCGCAGACTTGATCAACATGATTATACGAGAAGGTTTATTTCTTTCCCGTACAATGGAGTTTCTTAAAAAGCAAGGTTTCAAAGGACAATTTAGAGGAGGAGGTATCCCATAAACTCAAAGATTGCCGTTTTGGTAAGTTTCGATTATTTTATGTTTTTATTTTTCTCATGTTGATTAGTATATACTAGTTAAAGCACAACAGTTTCACTAATTATTAACTAAGATTTAACAAGTTTCAAAATGTATTTAATGAAAATAGATTCATTAGGGTATTTAGTTTTTTCGGTCTTTACCTGAGACTGTATGTGAATAATGTTGCAAAAAAATCAATAATGTACACACTAAACACTAAGCGCCACAAAAAGCGACTCTAGACAACAAGAATATTTACTTTTCCTATACTTATAGGTAGAAATTTGGTGCATAACAGACCATGAGCTGTGAGGGGAACACTGAGATAACAAGTCAGTTGTCTCAATATAGACAATAATAGTACAACTCAATGCAATGAAACGTTGTCCTAATTATTTGTTGCACTAAGATGAATCCCATAACGCAACAAGTCTATTCTGTTTAGGACATAGTTTAAAGTAATACATAATACATGTCTTTTCTCATTACCTAAACTTGCATCTACTAGGTCCTCTTATCCTTGGAAAACATAAGAACATGCCACTAGTCGCAAGTGTTGCAATTATAAGTCATCTTTGCACTTTGGTCATAGAACATATCAAATTTGACTATTAATCAATAACTCCATACATAACATTGGAACTTCCCTACTTTCTTTAAATTTCAAAGTCATAAAAGTCATATTTTATTTCAAATGAGCATTCAAGGAATAAAAGTACACATTTCTATACCAACACCCACTCCAATCTCATAGGGGAAAAAAGTGGAGATTAAATTGCGTAAAGAAAAAAGAGAGTGTCAATCAGTTTTTTGGATAAAACCAGGACAACCAATATAGGCTTAGCAACAATACACATCTTCTTATCTTCCTAGTAAAACAGAGTGTAAGCGAGGTAAGACACAATAGTTTCACTAATTATTAACTTAGATTTAACAAGTTTCAAAATGTATTTAATGAAAATAGATTCATTAGGGTATCTGGTTCTCCCAGTCTTTACCTGGGACGGTATGTGAATAGTGTTGCAAAAAAATCAATAATGTACACACTAAACACTAAGCGCCACAAAAAGCGACGACAACAAGAATATTTACTTTTCCTATACTTGTAGGTAGAAATGTGGGGCATAATAGACCATGAGCTGTGAGGAGAACACTGAGATAAAAAGTCATTTGTCTCAATAGACAATAATAGTACAACTCAATGCAATGAAACGTTGTCCTAATTATTTGTGGCACTAAGATGAATCCCATAACGCAATAAGTCCGTTCTGTTTAGAACATAGTTTAAACTAATACATATGATTCCATGTCTTTTCTCATTACCTAAACCTGCATCTATTAGGTCCTCTTATCCTTGGAAAACATAAGAACATGCCACTAGTCGCAAGTGCTGCAATTATAAGTCATCTTTGCACTTTGGTCTTAAGCCCACTAGACAGTGGCAAAACCATCTTTTCTAAGCCCACTTGAG